TCCCCCCCCCCCGCCCCCTCTGGCCACAGCTCAGGGAGGACTGGAGAAGCAACTACCGACCCCCCCCCCCCCGGCCAGGACCAGTGTTCCCCCCAAGCTGAGTTCGTGTGAGCCAGCTCACAGTTTTTTAGCCTCCGGCTCACACATTTTTGTCTTGGCTCAGGAAGGAGGGCTCCAGAGCAAACTAATTTATGTAGCAGCCAAATCACTCGCTCACAACTTTCATTCACAAAGTAGAATTTTTGCTCACAAGACTCCACAGCTTAGAGGGAGCATTGGCCAGGACCCCGTCATCTGAGGCAGCCAGGGCCAGTTGCTCAGCCCGGCCCACCTCACAGGGTTTTCGTTGTTGTCGGTGGGGACGGGGTGGTGGAGGGAGGAGTCCAGTGTGTGCCTCCTTGAGATGACCCTCAGAGGCAGGGTGGGGGGAGAGAGGAAACACAAAGGCCGAGTGATGGATCATAGCTGTGCTCTCTGCTGCTGAGGCTGGGCGTAGGGGGGTGGGGAGGTGCTGAAAAACTAACTTATTTACATCCCCTAAAAGTGCTATATATACAAAAAGTAACTAATTTGTATGGAAGTGTAAGATACCCTCCCTTTTATGGCATCCCTTGGAAAAAAACCTAGACTTGCATATGATTAAATGCATTTATTGGGGCTTTTGTGGATTCCCCTGTAAATCAGTTGCTTTCACTCCTTGGAATCAATTGCTTTTCTTTGTATTTTGAGTAAAAAAAATAATATTGTTGATTGGGCTTGCCTGTGTCCTTTATAAAGTTGATATCTCCGGTACCTGACATGACATTTTATCGAACACATTGTCTTGCCCGACAAAGTAATATTTGTGTCAAATCCGGCCCTCATAAAAAATGAGTTCGATGCCCCTGGACTAGGGTCTGAGAGACCCAGGTTAGAAAACAAGGTCTGCCATGGAAACTTGCTGGGTGACCTTGGCCTAGTCACTCTCTCAGGTCTCAGGCTAACCTACCTCACAGGGTTGTTGTGAGGATAAATGGGAGGGTGGGTAGAATGATACTATAAGACACTTTGGGTCTCCACTGGGGGAAAAAGTGGGGTATAACTATCTAAATTCATAAATAAGGGCAGAGTACGCAGATCAATGGCATGTAAAAAGTCCCAGGGCAAACAGTCTCTTGCCTGAAGCCCTGGAGAGCCTCTACTAGAGGAAAGAAGACTGGATCAGAGGAAACAGTCCTGTAGCACAGCTTCATATGCTAGCATTTCTCTGAGCTGCCGTGGTGCATACGTGTCTGCTGCTCAAGACTGCACTGAGAGCCTCCTTCTCCTTCTCCTCCTCTCGTTAAAGGATGGCAGCTATTGGCTTGGTTCACGTGAAATGGCCAAACCTTGGTTATCTGAGCAAGTCTTGGGCTCACGTTTCCCCCCCTCCTCTTCAGTCATGCACGGCAATTCCCCTTCTTTTGCATCAAGCCATCGGAATCCGTAAACTTTGTGTGCATGCTTGTTAAGCGCTGTCAAGTTGCTTCTGACTTATGGCGACCCTATGGATTAATAATGTCTTGCAAAAGGAGGGCTGTGGCCTCCTTTACCGAGTCAATCTGTTTGCAGTTATCCTCCAGACCGGGGCTGCAAACCACAATCAACCCGTGGTTCCCAGTTTTTGTTTGGAAGGAGGGAATCTCAGTGCATGAGGAGAGGAAGGAAGGGTGTGTAAGTGGTTGCATGTTATGTCTGTACAGTACCATGGTATTTTTCTCTCAATTGTGAACTCCGTCAACCAGAGATACAGACACTGGCCTGATGATGATGATGATGAAGAAGAAGAGATTGGATTTATACCCCACCCTTCACTACCCAAAGGTGTCTCAGAGTGGCTTACAAACTCCTTTCCCTTCCCCTCCCCACAACAGATACCCTGTGAGGTGGGTGGGGCTGAGAGAGCTCTGACACAAACTGCTCTTTTTCAAGGACAGCTGTGCCAGAGCTTGTGACTGACCCAAGGTCACATCAGCAGGTGCAAGTGGAGGAGTGGGGATTCAAACCCGGTTCTCCCAGATTAGAGTCCGCACACTTAACCACTACACCAAACTGGCTCTGACGTGATCTTTGCCCTTGATCATATCAACCAATCAGAACCTGAAATCCATCCAGAGGTTGTTTGTCCTGGGTCACTGGCCCGCAATTAGTCTAGGAAGTAGAGTCTGGGATGATGGCCCAAGGCCCTCCCATAAGAGTCTTCTCTTACATATTGCCTTTGTTTTCATGTGGGACTGATGATGCCACCCCACTGGAGGGCCAGATCTGCCCCATGGGTGCCAACTTCTGCTCCATATCTAGGATTCTCAAGCATGCATACAAACGAGCCCAGGGATACTTGGGCTGATTCTGCATTGTTTTACCAAACCCACACTGGAACAGAAAAGGTGCAGCTCAAAACCACATTCAAACACCCTGAGGCCACGCTGTATTGACTGCAAAGTCACCCCTGAGCGGCCATAAATCTATGCAGAAGGTACCATAAAACCTGATGATCAAAGAATGCAGTGCATGCAATGCAAACGAGAATTTCTGTTCCAACGTGGGTTTGGTATAACAACGGAGGGAAAAGCCAATGCAGAATCACCCTTAATAAAAACCAATAGAGTTGAGCAAGCATCACAGAGGTTATGGAGGGAGCCTTTAACATGTTTGTTCGGGCTCAGAATACTTAAGGGCAACTCTATTTATAGCAGCCTCGTGTGTTCTTTTCAGAACAAGGTTCTCCACAAAGCAGCAAGGCTGTTTGTTTTTTCAGATTGTGTGTGGCCCTTGTTCTTACAAGCCTCTGTTATGCTGATGATGGGTTGACTTCACCTAGCCGGTCACTTAAATGAAGCCACCCACTCCCCAAAGTGGAAAGCTACATTAGCCTACTGTCATTTGGAAGCACCCTTCACCATATGCTTTGTTTTCCCCAAAGGAATGTTCTTTTAAGTTACGTTTCAATTGGTGGAAGAAAAGTGGCTGTGATATAACTCAGTACTAGCTGAAGACTTTGCTTGCGTCTCCAGTGGAGGGCCATGTAACCACCACCAGTGTTCCCTCTAAGCTAAATTAGTGTGAGCTAGCTTACAGTTTTTTAGCTGCCATTTCGCATATTTTTGTCTTTGCTCAGGAAGGAGGGCTCCAGAGCAAACTGATTTATGCAGTAGCCAAATCGCTCACTCACAACTTTAATGCCAGTAGCTCACAAAATAGAATCTTCACTCACAAGACTCCACAGCTTAGAGGGAGCATTGCCCACCCCCACCCCCCAAATCTCAGAACTATTATACCAAGAACCCACAAGTGACCACTGGCCTAAAAGCCCAAGGTTCATATCCCTGTTAAAACCTAGACTTTATCAGGCATATTGTTTGGGGGGGGGGGACTCCTTTTGCATCCTGATTTCCTTACTCTGTGAAATGGAAATATTTAGTGCCATTCTAAGCAAAGTCACGCTGTTCTAAGCCCATTCTTTTTGGAACCCACTCTTTTGCAGGACAGAGAGACTTGTCTTCCAGGGAATGTTCATTTCACATGACAAGAATACCTACTTTCTGTGAGAACAAGCTAACTGCAGCAGCCCAATTGAGCCCCACCAAGCTGGAAAAAAGAAGTAATGGAGAAATAGATGATCTCCCAGAATTCCTCACCAACTGCTAGCTGAGGTAGTGTGCAGCTTAGGCGTTCCGCAATCGGGAAGAGATCTTTCAGCTTTGTTTGCTGTTTCCTTCCTTCTTCGCTCACAATCTTCTCCTTTAGCCACTGATAGCACTGGCAATCAGACACAATGGAATAGTTAAAATTAGTGCAAAAGCTAGAGCATTATAATTTACATCATTCTCAAATTACAGCCCTCAGCCCTTGCCTCATTGTGCTTTCAGTGTTATCAGGGCGTTGGGTTCTGCTCGAATCAATATTTACTGTGTCAAGTCTCCCACCAGCCACACTGTTTACTGCAATTTACTGAGAGAGCCAGGGGCTTCAGTTCATATCCAGCCATCTGTGCACGGAAAGCACACCACGTTTTCCTGAATTTCTCTCATTTCTGCGACCCCTTCCAAACACCCAGAAAGATCATTGCTGGGATCGTGGGACCCATGTGGATGAACAGGTGCATTGGTTGGGGGGCTGGAGCAAAGAGGGCCAAGGGGAAGAAACCACAGTGTTTCTAGAGGAGGGGAGAGGAGCAACTTCACCCCATTCCCTCCCTATCCTAGGCCCCCTGACCCACACAGCTGTTTCTCCATGCAGTTCCTGGGACCCTGGGAATGATTCTTCCAGGGCCTGGAAGGGGCTGTTGGAACAGAGAGGAAAATGGGGAAACTTTGCATTCTGTGTATGTACATTTCCCCCCACCACCACTCATGCCAATGGGCCAAGGGGATGCCTTGGTGGGGGAAGCAACACTGACTGCACAGCCACCCCATCTCATGCAATGAGTTGCCCTGTAGTAGAAATTGGCTCCAGAGAGCCAGTGTGGTGTAGTGGTTAAAGTGCTGGACAAGGATCTGGGAAACCCATGTTTGATTCCCCCGTGAAAGCTTGCTGGGCGACCCTGGGCTAGTCACACACCCTCCACCTAACCTACCTCACAGGGTTCTTGTGAAGATAAAATGGAGGAGAGGAGATAAATGTAAGCTGCTTTAGGTCCTCAGCAAGATGGGATATAAAATAAATAAAAATAAAATCCTTGTGGCAAGTGTGACTCACAGACCAGCTCAGAAAAGAATCTTTTCAGGCACAAATTTGCTTAGTGTGCATGTGTTAAGTGCCGTCGAGCTGCCTCCAAATGATGGCGACCCAATGAATTAATGTCCTCCAAAACACCCTGTCATTCACAGCCTTGCTCAGGCCTTGCAAACTGAGGATCTTTGTGGCTTCCTTGACTGAGTCCATCCACCTCATATTAGGTCTTCCTCTTTTCTTGCGGTCCTTAACTTTTCCTGGCATTATTGTCTTTCCCAGAGACTCTCGCCTTCCCATAATGTGACCAAAGTATGATAAGACTCAGTTTAGTCATTTGAGCTTCTAGGGAGAGTACAGGCTGGATTTGATCTAGAACCCACTGATTTGTCTTTTTGGCGGTCCACGATCCGTAAGACTCTCCTCCAACACCACATTTCAAAGGAATCTGCTTTCTGCCTGTCAGCTTTCTCCACTGTCCAACTTCCACACCCATGCATAGGAATAGGGAATACTATGGCATGAATTAACCTGACCTTGGTTGCCAGTGACACATCCTTAAGGATCTTTTCTGGCTCCTTCATGGCTGCCCTTCCCAGCCTCAGTCTCCTTCTGATTTCCTGGTTGCGGTCTCCCTTTTGCTTGATGATGGTGCCAAGGAGCAGAAACTTAGCAAGACTATATTAAGGAAGAACCTCACTGAGCAAATGAATTCTTTGCTACCCAGGTTCAATGTTCCCTCTAAGCTGTGGAGTCTTGTGAGCAAAAATTCTACTTTGTGAGCTACTGGCATTAAAGTTGTGAGCCAGCGATTTGGCTACTGCATAAATTAGTTTGCTCTGCAGCCCTCCTTCCTGAGCGAAGACAAAAATGTGTGAGCCGGAGGCTTAAAAACTGTCAGCTAGCTCACACTAACTCAGCTTAGAGGGAACACTGCCCAGGTCACAACTTATTGATAGGAGGGTCCCTGTGTTCTGCATAAGCAGAGCAATGGGGCTTTTTTCATTATCACAGTAGTGGACTAATAGTTATCAATTAGCAGTGCACATTCTGGCACAGAGCTAGAGGCGTGCAAGTTCATTGACACATCTAGCTCTTTGCTGGATTGCGACCAATATGTTTAGTTCATATACATGAGTTTGATTGAAGCAACAAAACCTCGGGCTCTTTTTCACACTGGACAAATTCACTTCTTTTTCTTAAGGATGGGGAAAAAATGTCGAGAGTGCCAGCCATAGCTTTCAGGCATAGCCGGATGATTTGGAGTTCTGCCATTCTGTGGTGGTACACAACTCTGACAGCGTGTCTCAGACATCAAGCAATACTAAACAGGCCGTAGCAAAAGGCAATAAAAGTGTCTGGCCTGCATGTGTCAATATGACCTTGTTAAGATTCTCTTAAAAATGCCTAAAAGCAACTCTGGATACCATTTGCGGTTGCAGTGTCAGCTTGATTCCATTAAAGAGGCAACAGTGGAGCTTCAGAGCAAGCTACAGGCTGGTGAGGGGCAGCTTTTGCCCTTTAAAACCAGCATGGCACAGTGGCTGGAGTGCCAGGCTAGGAGCTGTGAGACCCAGATTCAAATCTCCACTCTGCCCTATGGAAGCTTGCTGGGGGATCTTGGGCTGGTCACTTTCTCTCTTAACCCAACCTACCTCCCATGGATGTTGTTGCAAGGATAAAACAGAGGAGGGAAGAACGATGTTGTAAGTCACTTTGGGGAGAAAACCAGGGTACAAAATTCTAAATGAATAAAGCAGAGCGCCACGTTTGGCCTGTCACTGCCACCTGCACAGCCCTTCATTGGCCAGAGAATGCCACCAGGTCAGCAGGCAGGTTTACTTTCTTGCTTGAGCCACCCAGATGCTGCGATGCGTGCACCTTCCGTGAAGAAGACATTTCAGCAGGTGCACCTCCCAAACGATTGGATCCAGAGCAACGTTTCCGTGGGTGCTGGGACCTCCACCTGCAGATCACGACTTTCCCACCTCCCCCTCCCTGCAGCAGCTTGAAATGTCCCCTGAAATCCTGCCCAGGGGGCAGGAAGAGAATGGGGGGGGGGCATCTTGAGCTGCTGCTGCAGAAGAGGGGAACCATGAAAAATTGTACCCAGTGGGCAAAAGTCCTTGCACCCAAGTAAATGCTGTGCTGGATCCTACCCCAAAACTTATCCTCCTGCACAACCATTAGCCCTCTGGCATTAGGCTGCTCAACGCTTGTTCTGGGGAGAGAATGGCTCAGTTTTATGCTGGATGAAGAAGAAATTCCCAATGAATAGGCAGAACACACGAACACATGAAGCTGCCTTATAGTGAATCAGGCCCTTGGTCCATCATGGTCAGTATTGTCTACTCAGACAGGCAGCAACTCTCCAGGGTCTCAGGGAGAGGTCCTTCACATCACCTACTGACAGATCCTCTATTTGGAGATGGTAAAAGGCTGACTTGGCAGTGGCTGCCACCTGGGCCTCCATCGAAAAGGAGGAGTCCAGGAGCACTCCCAAACTCCTAACCCTCGACACCGGCACCAACGGCGCCCCATCGAAGGCCGGGAGAGGGAGCCCCAACCCCGACCCGACTTAGGCCCAGGACCTCCGTCTTTGCCGGGTTTAACTTCAGCTGACTCAGTCTGAGCCAACCAGCCACAGCTTGTAATGCCCGATGAAGGTCATCTGGGTTGGAGTTCGACCGGCCACCCAGCATCAGATAGAGCTGGGTGTCATCCGCATATTGATGACACCCAAGCCCAAAACTCCGGGAAATCTGGGCAAGGGGGCGCATATAGATGTTAAATAACATTGGGGACAGCACCGCCCCCTGAGGCACCCCACACTCAAGAGGGTGCCTCGGGGACTGCTGTTCCCCTATTGCCACCCTTTGTCCCTGACCTTGCAGGAACGAGGCAAACCATTGAAGGGCGAGCCCCTGAATCCCCACGTCAGCGAGGTGGTGGGCCAGCAGCTGAATTGAACCTGGGACCTTCTGCATGCCAAGCAGATGCTCTACCACTAAACACCAGTCCCTCCCCTGGACCTTTACAGCTAACTGGCTAAAAACAGTCTGTGCCTGGGCTTAAGTGTCATCACGCACAACTGTTCAAACCCAAATTAAGGAGATTTTTATTACAGACTGAGGCCAACTTAATTGGCTGCACCTTTATTAACTCAGACAAACTAAGACTACAGCATCCCAACTGGAATTATAGACACTTTATAGACCTTTCTGTAAAATTCTCAGAAACAGTGTAGCAAATTGAAAACACGGCTGCATTACCTTGAGAAGCAATGGTGGCCACAACCTATCCTGGATAGTAATCAATTATGTAGTGGCCTTCAATTGGCCAAGAGTCTAATTGCATCCAGATCTAGTACAGCAACTCACCCCTGCATAATTACTGAATGCTAAAACATTCCCACAGCCTTCCTCCACTTTTCCATTTGTGAAAGCCCATCCTATGTTCTTATCTAGCCCTAACACCTTTAATCCAGTCCAGAGGAAGCAAGAAGAAATAAGGGGTTTTTTTTTTTAAAAAGGTATAAAGTAATAGAAAAGTTGGTTGTTGCAAAAGAATATGTAATGAAGGCAGAAAATCTACCTGTTTTAGGCATACAAAAATTAAGGTAAAGTTATTGCTTTATATTCCATTGCAAGAGATGCATTTAGTTTTTCATTCTGATTAGGATCATCTCGGCAGTGGCTTTGGAAGGGAATGCCAAGCCCTACAATCAAGGAAAACTTTCCTTTTCATCTGATACATAAAAGCCCATTCATTTTCATTGTAAAAGGTGTTATTTTTAAATATTCTAGCCCTTGGCTTTCTGGCTAGTGTTCACTACACATATGAACTACGTTAAGATATAAGGTCTGAAGCCCCATTTCTCTCAACTAATCAAAAAGGGTTTCTCCCCCCCCCCTAATAAGCTTATTCCATAAAGAAGAATCATTTTACTGTATGACAAATGGCTTTTCAGGCGCAAGTAAATCTGAATATTTACTACCGGCAAAAAAGATTGTTTGCTTGTTTTTTTAACCTAGCAGCCTGCAATAAATTGTAAATCTATTACCTAAAAATGTCCTCCCGCCCACACACGAGGCTGAAAGCTAATTCATTCCCCCAGCCATTTCTAAGGATTGCTACTTGTGCCTCGGAGGGCATCTGAGAAGCATCAGTCAGGAGGATTTAAGAAAATCCTGCAAAGCGCAAACCACTCCCTGACCACAGTTCACTCATAAACAGTTCTGGGGGCAAAACAGCCCAAATATTCTTCATGGGACAGAGGCAATGGAAAGAGGGGGTGTGGCTCAGTGGCAGAGTATCTGCTTTGCATGCAGAAGGTCCCAGGTTCAATACCTGGCATATTCAGTTTAAAGGACCAGGCAGTAGGTGATGTGAATAGACCTCTCCCAGAGACCCTGGAGAGCCACTGCCAGTCCGAATGAACTATATTGATCTTGAGGGACCAAAAGCTCTGAGTCAGTAGAAGAAGAAGAAGAAGAAGAAGAAGAAGAAGAAGAAGAAGAAGAAGAAGAAGAAGAAGAAGAAGAAGAAGAAGAAGAAGAAGAAGAAGAAGA